TCTGCAAGTTTTGCAGGGGAACTAGACAACTACTGACCAGTCAGCAAAGCAGAAACGCTAGTAATCCCCGTAATCCCCGCGTCGAGCACTTATAATAAATTCGTCCTGCGACCAGGGCACATCGTTGGTTGGGGATTTTAGTCGAGTCCGTACGACTTCCTCCCCCCCTCCGGCCCTCTGTCCCTCCTCATCGAATCGAGCCGTCGACCGAGGGGGGGGGGCAACCACCACTCCTAGAAGGCCAGACAGTGAATACGACCTCCCCTCCCTCCCAACAATGAGCATGTAGCAATACGACCCCTCCGTTTTACAACGTCCGTTCGTGAAGCGAGAAAAGACAACTAGCAAAGTAAGTTTTTCTCAGCCCAAATACGCCCCCCTCCTCTCATAGCGGCCAAATAGGACTCCCTGTTGGGGATTCCCTAACAACGATGTCCTCTGTCTGCGCTATAGCAACAGGCGCAGTAGCTAACGGTGTACTATGACGCTGTCTTGTAGCGAATATGGTATGGTTGCGAACACGCGTTTTTGGCGCGTTTGTATCGCACTTTGAGTGAATAAAGTGGTACACTCTCTGAGTCTGTGATCCGGCTACAAAATGCGCGGACACGATTGAATTTATTGCGGCAATGACTTATTAAGCGTAGTCGAACCAAGTCGAGTAATTACCTTCATTATTTTGATGAACTTCATCATGTACTTCTCACGCTCCTTAGGATTTGAAGGTGTAATCACTAGAGTTCGTACCCAGAATGAGACCTAAACATCCTCCAGAACTGTCAAAATAAAAGTTCAAGAATAACAACAGCTTATTCCGAAGTCTTGTTCTTTGCTGAGAAAATTATTATCAGTTGTCATGAAAACATACATTATTGAAATGTTCGGTAAATGCGACCATGTTCGGGCTTTTCTTCTCATCTTGCTCTTGTGCCCACCAAAGAAGTTCAGGAGGCTGTAAATCATATATTTGCTGATGATACAGTGTTACAACGCAGTCAAAGAACAAGATAACGTGTATAGTAAATGCAATGCAGTGTTCTCCTTGGTGCAATACTCCATTCGTCCCTATGGAGCCTATCGCAGAGCCTGCGACTAGGCCCAAGTTCTGTAAGAGATGCTGACATACCACCCCAAAGTTTCGTAAATTACTCCGCCATCAGCGAAATCGTATGGCGTCGCGATCGCCACGCGTACGTACGCTGAACCGAACGCTGTAGGCTCGAAGTGATTGCTTTTTGAAGCTGATCGCCATTGATCAATGTTCTGAAAAATGCGGCCCGCAAAAGTTCCCTCTCTGGTAGGACCTACCCTCCCCTTTGCACATCCTCCCTACCATATCCACCGTCTTCCCGAAATTCCTTACCTTCCTTCCACTTTTCCTGAGTTTTTTTCCCCAAGAATTGTACCACTTTTTCTCCACTTTTCTCCTCTCTCTCCGCGAACGCCCGCTCGGCGAGGTCGTGCAGTATCACAGAAGGAGCCCCGGCGATCCCCTGGTAGTTGATGATTGCTTTATGACTCTTTAGTGGCCTCCTTCAAAAGAAGAGGTTTCAGTGTTAAGAAGTACATATAGGCAGATATGGACACGAAGAATGAAATCGCTGCATGGAGATCAACCAGTCGGAAATCAGGATCTTCACCCTGCAACAGTCCTCAGATCCAGTCCCCAGATTGTTGTTGATGTACAAGCCGTGCACTCAACACTCATATGATAAGGAATATGATCTTTACGCATAATCTCCCAGTGGCTCCTTACCTCAATGAGCTGAAACAGTTGAGCGTCGATATAAGTCATTTGACAGGCCAAATCGGATGATCGGAAATCAAACAAGGTGTAGTTGGTGTTATTAATTACTAAAAAATAATGCAAAAGAATAAAAAATATGCAAAAGAATATGGTTTCTGAAGTATCAACAACCTAGTATACAGTCGTCATCCGGGCAATTGATCAGGCGGTCGTCGAAGGGTCGCAGACGCGGCTGCAGCAGCGACCGCGTACGTACGAACTGTTGGCGGCGATCACTGTTTCTGGCCTGATTTAGTCATTTTCTCCCTACTTT